AAAAAAAATCACATGTAATCTTAAAACAAATCGTGTATTACTATAAAATAATCATCTTTTTAAAAAAGAAATCACATGTGATCTTAATAAAACACGTGTTTTATTACAAAATAACATGATAAAGACAGATATTCACATGTAATCTTAATAAAACACGTGTATTATTATAAAATAGCATGATAAAGACAGATATTCACATGTGATCTTAATAAAACACGTGTATTATTACAAAATAACATGATAAAGACAGATATTACACTGAATATAATGTTTTTTTCCGAGAAATACTATGTGTTCTTTATAAATAACATGTAGTACGAGAAAAATACATGATAAAAAGAGATATATTATGCTATCACATGTAATTCGAAAAAAAAGCGTGTTACAAAGGACATATACGTAATTACACAGCTGTTCCGACATGTTAGAGACAGGGTACTGTAGCTCGTGGTTAGTTTGTGAATTCTTTTTGAATCCAAGGTTAGTTTCTATAAATTCTCTATTTGTTTTTGCTATTATGCAAGATGCCGATTGATTTGGATGACGTGGCTAATTTTCGAGGGTTTACCTTATTTGCAAAAGAGATAGCTGATGTGGCACAACGTAGATGAATTTTTAAGAATCTGATGTGGATAGGTTGAGAGGTCTCAATGAACACCTTTTATTAGTAAGAGATGAATCTGACTCGTCATTGGTGGTAGGCTCGTAGCAATTGGATAAGGGAATTGATATCGACAATTTGGGTGTGTGACTCTTCGGATTCATCAGATTTTTTTTGTGTTTTTTCTAGCTATCTTTCAATTTCTTAAGCTATTTCTCTTTTAGATATTTATTTTTTTTTCCGCTCGAAATAATGCAATCAACCTCTTTTCAGTTTGCAATACAATCAACCTTTTTTTAATTTTAGAATACAATCAACGCTTTTTTAATTTGTAAAAATACATATTTTTGTCCTCACCAAAACCTTCAATATTAATTGGAAAATTTGTAAATTTCAAAATTTTGAAAGATTAGAGTTCTATATATCATCTTATAACAAAATTGTTTTGGGCGAAAGAGAGGAAATGTGTGATTTCCCACGGCCACAAGCCTTTTACCGGGGTCAGGACTCAGGAGTTGGTGACACTTTCCTCACTTTTCAGCTGCTTTCATTTGTGAGTCTGCATAACATGATTCTTCTAGCTTTGCAATAACGCCAGGATCATCAACATTGAAACTCTTATATAGCTTGTTTTACGATACTTTGCATTTTGTTTTCCACAAAACCCTGTAAAGACCTTTTGACATTACAAATACTTGAAAAACACCTTTAAAAACATTAAAAACATGTGATAAAAAGCATTAAAAAAATATAGTACAAGAAATTTATATATAAAATGGGATAGTTTTCTCTCCTATTAAGGTGTCCACCTAAGCATCCACCTAAGCAAGACTATTATTTTTACATTAAAGTATATTTAAAATACTCATTTAGTGCAAAATTATGTTACTTATAATTAATATAAATTTTAATTAAATGAAAAACGAGAATTAAGAAAAATAAATGAAATTTAAAAATAGTAAAAACAATACAATGAAAATTGTATTATTAATAATAATATAATTTAACTTTAAAAAAATTAAAAGTGATCATATTTCAAATTTTTGAATGTGTGAATGAGTTTTTAGAATGGAAATAAGATTAAATGCATGATATATAAAATATAATTTATATAACTCTACTTGAAATAATTTTAAACAGGAAATAAAATTTAAAGTTAAACATTAGTTTTAAAAATAATATACTACAAAATTATTTATTTATTTTTAATAAAAAGAAGTGAAATATAAAAATAGTAAAAACATTACTATGAATATTGTATTAGTAATAATAATATAATTCAACTAAAAAAAAACTATTAAATGCATGGTATATTAAAAAATAATTTATATAACTCTACTTATTAAATTTAAACCAAAAACAAAATTTAAAGTCAAACATTATTTTCTAAAAACAATATACTAAAACGAGTTTTATTTACTTAAAAACGTTTACTTAAGAGAAATTAAAAGATCACTAAACTCAAAATAAAATTTAAATCTGAGACGAAGACATTGTAATTGGGTCACACTTTTTGTGAAATAATAAAGAAGAAAAAGATCATAAACGTCTTAATATTATAACCATCTTCTCAAAAAAAAAAATCAATGGTCATATTATTCATGAGTTCTATAACAAAATATACAAAAAGTGATATGTAAACCGTTAAAAAAAAGTGATATGTAAGCCGTGTAGCATATCTCGGAGAAAAGTCTATTCTCAAGTGGAACTACAATTCTATAAGATGATAAAAAAAAAACAAGTTTGAGATTTCATTAATTGAATAAAATAATTTTAACCCAAATAAAATTGGTGGAAACAACATATTTAAAGTACACTAAGGTTTTTATAATAGTGTAAGACGATAAGACGATGTTTATTTTTCATCACAAAATTAATATCTCAAAATAATAAAAACAAAACGGTTCACTAAGGAGTAAAGTCATGTTATTTTAGCGTTGGATGTGTAAGTATTGTGAAAAGCAAAAACAATAACATTTTAATGAAGAAAATTTTAAGCGCAGTTAGACTTTTTTAAATAGTCGACTATACGATCTTCAAAAGAAATATTTTTTCTCAAAACAAATATCAAAAATGTATACTTGCAGTTGAGATACAGCATAGATGTTAGTCAAATCTTATAACATTTAGATTTATCTTTGAATGTTGTGATTAAAAGAATTTGACCTCTATTACTTTATAGGATGCATATTTATAATTATTACCATTATAGTAAGAGATTTATAGTCTATATACAACTTATGTATAATTAATCAAAAGACAGTAAAAAGAGAGAGGCAAACAAATATTACAAATACGAATGCGGTAAGTACTAGATTATTTTTAATACTTACTGGATTCGTATATTGTTACTAATGCTAAGTTGTTTTTATATAATTGTTTTATTATAAATATTTTAGAATTTAATATTTAAACTATTACGATATCACCAAATAAATTATTTAATATATTTTGTCACTTATATTAAAGTCATCTTTAATTATTCTCAACATTCTCACTAATTTTACCACTAAAAATTTATTACCGACTAATGTGACTCATTGAATTTATATATATTAGACAAAAAAGGTTTAAGAATATATTTCTTAGAAGAATATAAATGTTAAATTTTATGTCTTGAAATCTTTGAAATCAATTCATTCGTTTTTTATAACTAGGAGGCTCTGGGTCCCTGGGTCCATATATCCTCATGGTGAGACCTAGACTATGTAATATAACTTTACTTTCTTTTGCAGAATAGATCCTTCCCAATGCGAATCGCACCCGTAACCACCAAGATCTCTACATTTTTGGTAATCAAGGAGTTTAACCACTAGGTTAACTCATCGTTTGGTCGATTCATTTTCTTTACCGAAAAGTAAACATAGTTTTTCAATAACATGCAAAATGCAAGCTTATATGTATGTAACACATTGACATAAATTTGTAGACTACAATTGTGATTAAAAATAAAAAAAAAGTGAACACTTCAAAATATGAAACAATATAGTAGATAAACATAATATAGTACTAAACTCACGCAACGCGTGAGTCATTTTCTAGTTAAAATACAATGTTATCACCGGGACCGCAAAATAGTTCAGTTGAAGAGGCTAGGATAATGGCTCGAATATTTCCTATGTCGGCCGATCTTCCCGAATATTACATATCTAAGATCCAGGGCCGGTCTTGGGCCGAGCGAGATGAAACATGTGCTAAGGGCCCTTTTTTTTGTTTTCTTATAATAAAAAGATCCCCAAATTTTACTTTTTTCTAAAAACAGCCCCACAAATTTCTTATTTTTGAAAATTTGCTTTGATTATTTAAATTTGTCTAGAAAACCCCCAAAAATTTTGTTTTTGCTAGGGTCCCAAATTTTAGAGGGCCGGCCCTGCTAAGATCATTCGCCAATATAGTAAATACATTCCACAAGAAAATATTGTAATATTGTGCGAACTCACAATTTTTAAGGCATGTGGATTTTTTCAAGTGGTATCATTAATCGGAAATCTGGATATTTTGAGAAACCTCCAATAATCCGAATATTTTTCGAGTGGAATCGTTACTCGTTCATCACAATCATATGTATTACATGTGTAACTAAATTCGATAGAATATTTATCATTTTTAATAAAATGTAAGATATGAAAAAAATATTCATACACTAAATTAAATTTGGTAAATTTTCCTTACAAGTGAATGTAAGCTGGGTTTTTTTTTTTTGTTTTCAAAATATTTCCCTGTCAAAGTCTATGATACGACCTGGAAATGGGCTCATTAGAGGCTTTCATGAGCCGAAAGGGCCATTATGGCATTAAATTAAGTTTTTCTTGTAGAACTTGATTGATTGTAATATTTTGGCTTTCAATGGTTAGTCCATATGATGCGTACTAGACACTGCATACTAATATTTTAGTATGCAAAACATCAGACTGTAGTATGGAGCAGACAATTGTATGTTGGTATGGAGTTTATGATGGTATGGAGCTTTTGAGGAGTGGACTGAAAAAATGCGGACTAACAGTGAATTTATGATGGTATGGAGTGGTATGCTCAAGTGCATACTAGTATGGAGATTTTTAGTCTGCAATAGTGCAGACTAGTATGCAATAGTGAATGGTAAATTAAGTGCATACTAGTCCGATTTTAGTCCGGTCTGCAGCATAGTAGACAACCATTCAAAGCCTTTGTGTAAATATTAGAAGTTAGAACGAAGCATTTTTTTTTTTTTTTTTTTTTTGGTAACATGTTAAGTACGAAGCTTTCTTCCTCATTCATCATCCTCCACTCTCCCAAACTCTCTGTCAGCTCTCCCTACTTTCTGTTCGATTAAGAAAAAGACTGATCTTCGGTCTTATCACTATACCATTAACGAAAAACCTTGAGTAATGCCATGAAGATTTTAAAGTAGATAAACAATAAGATACACGACTATTTATTAAGTGGATAACAATACCATTGTCATTTTACATATCAATATATAGTCTTTATACAACATCAATATATCTTCTCCTCGATTATCAAACTCAAAGGCGAGAAAAAGGAGCCAAGAAAGGATAATCCGTGTAGCCAACAACTGGATCTTGAGTGTAAAACGTCTTCCGATTATATTTATTCAACTTTCCATCAATCTTGAACCGCAAAACCAAATCCGGGTTTGCAATAAACAGCCTCCCATATGAAACCAAATCAGCATCACCTTCTTGAACTGCTTTCATGCCTAGTTCTTTATTGAATCCTCCACTAGACATAAAGGTTCCATTGTAAGCCATTCTCAAGCTTCTCATTAACTTAGCTTCTTCCTCATCACTGCCTTGCCTTCCAGACTCTGTTTGCCCATAGGCGTGGTAACGAGGCTGTGTAACGTGAAGGTAAGCAAGCTTCGAGCCATTAACATCTTGTAACTTATTGAGCACATCAACCACGGCTAACCCGAGGGATAATGGGTCAGAATCAGTTGCATCCAAGTGGTCTATCGCTGGAGATACTCTCACACCAACTTTACTAGCTCCTATGGCTGAAACTACACCTTCCACTACTTGTTTCAAGAATCTACAACGGTTTGCAATGGAGCCTCCGTATTCATCAGTACGATCATTGATCCCGTCTTTCAAAAACTGATCAATGAGGTAACCATGCGCCCCGTGAATCTCAATCCCATCGAAACCAGCTCGGATAGCATTCAAAGCAGAGCGGCAATAATCCTCCACCACTCGAGGTATCTCGGAAGCTTCTAAAGCCCGGGGTTTCGGGTACTTCGCGTAGGACCCATCAGGCAACAAAACTCGCCACCTTTTTTCTGAGATGGGTATGTTCGTTGAAGATATTGGCGACCCTCCATTAGGTTGATACACTACACAACGACTCAAAAATGTTATAATTTCCCAACTCCTTCAAGATTTACGAGTATAATTCAATGAGGAGAAATAAAAACCTGGATGAGAAGCACGTCCAACATGCCATAATTGACAAAAGATAAAACCTCCCTTAGCGTGAACTGCTTCCACAACTTGCTTCCATGCCTCTACTTGTTCATCCGAATAGATTCCAGGCACATGTGGGAACCTGAGAAACTTTGTTTATATCAGTTTCATTCCTTACAACAACATTACAAGTCATGTTAGTTAATGCAAGAGATGCAAAAAAACATTCGCTTTGCATTTGTTCATATATATCATGATTCTTTTTATTTGCCATTTCTTTGAATGTGGCTGATAGATCTAAACCTCTCCATTCTTATCACGCCACTCAACTATTATTGTTGGGTCCTATCACCCACATCCCTTATAATGACAAGACAAAACAACTCAAAATGCACACGTTTCTTTTTTAGTGAAATAATGATAATTCATTTCCTTTAAAGTGAGATAGGCAAAAACCTTTTAAAAACATTTAGTCACCATAAATCATTAGTGATATATATTAAGTTTTATAGATTTCTAATTCAAAACCAGTATAAGTTATTTATATCTCTTAACGAGATCCCTTTTATTTTAGATGTAGAATTTCTAACCGAATAAACATCCTCTATTAAGAAAAGACTAATAGAACAGTAATAATGATAATAGAAATGACTTATTGCTTAAGAAGAATAAGAAAACAACTACTCTCTCTCTGTATCATAAATAATGATTTTTGAGGTTATATTTTTGTATCAAAAAGATTGATTTTCTGTAAATTTTTATCAATTAATGTTAATAAATTGTGAATTACAAGAATCATTAATTGAGAATTTTAAAATTTGATGAATTACTATTGGTTAATAGCTATGAGAAATTATTTGGTATGAATAAATTGTGCATTTATAACTAAACATTAAATGTTTTTCTTAATTAGTGTGAAAACTCTATAAAATCAATCTTTTTGATACGGAGAGAGTACTAAATACTAATATGATAAAACCAAAAATAAATAAAAACAATACTAATATGAGTTTATTCAATATTTTAATGAAAATCAGATTGTTTTCCAAACCACAAAACAAATTTATTTAACAGTCCAGTTAGTTTTTTTTTTTTGGTGAATAACAGTCCAGTTAGTTGACGTCATCTTATCGTAGTGTATTACTTTTGGAGTTTTGGTCTTAAAAAAAAAAAGCAAGTAAAAATGACGAGAATACCCTGCGGATCCTGGAGAGACCATGGTGCCTTCGGAGATGAGAAAGCCGCCGGGAGTGGTGCGTTGAGCGTAATACTCCACCAACGCCGCGTTTGGAACTCCGTTCAACGCCCTGCACCGCGTCATCGGCGCCAGAACTACTCTAAAAACGCAAACGCAAACGCGGTATGAGATTAAACGCTCATACAACAATCACTTGAGATCATCAATCAATTAATTAATTCAGCTGAAACTCACCGATGAGAGAGATCGAATCTTCCCATCTTGTAAGAAGAAAACAGAGTCTCGTTAGAGTTCTTTTGTGCCGCCGTCATGTCTCCTCCAATCTGGGAGAAGAAGAGATCAAAATGATTACAAAAGGAGAAGGAGAAATAAAGTCAGATCTGAGAAATCAACGGTCAACACAAAACACTGATTGGTAGTTGGATCTTCTTCATTACACAAAGGACAAAACACAAAGTAACTAAAGTTTGTGATGAGTTTACCGTTTTGTTATTCGGAATTGGAGTGGATGTGTTGTTTGTGTTGTCGTGGAAATGGAATTTGCTAAATTTTATACCAAAAAAAGGTTGGTTGATGGATGGACCAGAGGAGGAACGTTCTTGGCATCTTGGATCGAACCGACCATTACTTTCACGTGCTGATTTATTTTATAGTAAAGTTTGGTCCGCGTGAGATATTTCCTTCTATTTTGCTTCATATTATATTATTTTTATTTTTATATTTCGATATCGCAGAAAAACTCATTTTCAACAAATTGCTAAATTTACAAAAAATATTAACTATGTTTATGTATTAAGTTGTTATGATAATATATTTAAATATTTGAATTATTACATAAAATTTATTATGTTTTTACGTTATATCGTAAATATTTTTCAAAGATGTCAAAAACTTTTATGAATAAAAATGTAAAAAAAAAAAGAATTATGAATAAAAACACTTTTGAAACATTTTTATGAATGTAGAATTATTTATTAGTGACAAAATACATAACGAAGAGTTATAATAAAGAGATGAGACAGTCCAAAAAGTTTTCTAGGAAAGTGATAAAGTTAAAATCCATATATCTTTTGTCAAATCAATAAATTTAAACAAAAAAAATCAATCTTAGATAATATATGTTTACTAATTTTTTAAATACTTTCAAACAATTAATATGATTGGAAATACATTAATAGTAAATGAAGGCAAATAGTGAAAAGCTACATGAAAAATATTTTTAATTAAAACCAGTAAAAAAATGTGACTCTCTGAAACACTTTTTTTTTTTTTGTCAACCACACATTTATTAAAAAGTTCCTTGGTTGGTTGCCCAACTAGGAGGAGAAATGTTTACAAAAGTAGCTTCAGAAAATAAAAGTCTAGAAGAGCGCGCTAAGCAGTCCGCTTTTAAATTACAAGAACGAGAAATAAGGGAAAGTGAGAAAGAGGGAAAGGAAACACGTAGCAAACCAAACTCGTCTAGAAGGTTGGAGAAACACTTTTATAATTTCTAAAGAGTACTTTTTCCCTTTTTCTACATCCATTTTCAAAAAAATGCTTCATTTAGCATTAAACCAGAAAGAATTATAAGTTTTATAAAGTACTAGGAGAGTATCCGCGCTACGCGCGGGTTTTTGTTTTTAAAATTTTTTAAACAATTAGTTTAAGTTATGAAATATTTATATTTATTTTCCAAATTGTGTTGTTTTTTTTGTTTATAAGTTATATTTTGTCTAAATTTATTATTATTGTTATTATTATTATTATTATTATTATTATATATGGTTATATTTAATTAAGTAGATCGTAGTTTGTTTGAGTAGTCCCTTGGTATTTTCTTAAATATTAATCAAAGATGTATTTTCTTATTGTTAGAATAACTTTTTAAGTCCTATTATTATTTGAATGGCAACTCCCCTTCTTGTAAAAGAAAATTTTTGTTTTCGTAACAACAATTTATTTTTTGAAAAAAGCAAGGAAATATCAACAAATTTAAAACTTTAATGAAAACGGTTTGATTGGCTATATTGAACTGTGGCCTTGTTTGAATTCCATTTCCTTTAAGACTCCATTTTTAATTGTTTTCTTCCCACTTTAAGTGACGGTAGAAGTTGTTGCTTGGTTCATGTCGAGTTTAGGTCCCTCTAATGTTTTCCATCCTTGAAATGAATAGTTGTGTTAAATAGGTTTTGTTTATTTACTTTAATTGTTGTATTTTTTATTTACCTTTAATCCATAGTTTGTCGTGTCATTGTAAATTATGTTTGACACCGTGAAATTCGTTTGGAAAAGTAAATGCTTGCCATGAAGATCGTTTAAACATGTTGGTAGGTTATTGTTGTTAGCTTCGTTGCATCACAAAAATTGGTTATTTTTTAGTGTTATTGTTACTAAAAAGTGAGAAGCATTTTCAATTTAAAAGCAATATGGTTTTCATAGATTGTATTTACCTTCTCTTAAATGAGTGTGGCTGCTGGTTTGGTTGTAAGTTTCCTCATCTCTTTGTCTAAAACCACATATGTGGCACCATGTTGTCATCATGAACAGCAAGCTCTATTCGGTACCTTTGAGAAGTGTGTATATAATAGTAAGATTAGTTTTCTTCTAACTATTTTATCTAAATAATATGTGTTCCCAATTGCTTAGATAAAAATTAAAAATTTGTTTTGTACTTAACAATTCCCTCCTCATTTGGCAAAACACATTTGTTGCATCGTAAAAGTGTTTTCTTTTCTCTAAATTCCTCCCAGAGCCTTTGCAAGATCTGTAAGTCCATCTGTTTCTTTGTAGCATGCCAACAACAATGCATTGAAGAGAAATTCAGCATCCTAAGACTTTTTAAAGTGTTGTAAATGTATCTTGTTAAGTTTGGAGATTCTTTTTTCATATGTGATGATAAATTTAATTAGTTTATTGTTTTAAATACATGTTCGTTAGCTTTGGATACATAGTCATAAAGTTTAACAATGGAAACCAGTTTTTTTTTCGGACTCCCACCAGGGTTTCGGCATGTCCATGTATTTCTCATTCTTCTATTCCCATCCGATATGGACAATAAAACTATTGTTAAAAATTTGTGTATAGAACCGAATGTGTTACTTGTTGGATAAATTTCTTAAAGATTACTTTTTGTAAATTTTTGGATGGCGTCAATTGTTGAGTCAAAATATAACCTTGTGGCTGTCGTAGAGTTCAAGTACATGTTACCTGTTAAATAAAAGTGCATTTTTATTAATCTTTATGTGAGTATGATGAGAAATTTATGTTTGAGTGTATATTTTATTTTCTTATGATATAGGACTTATACCTCCAAACAATTTTGGATTAATCGTTGTTACCACCATGAAATTTTTATTGGTCTGTTCCGTAGCGTGGATATTTATGAGCGGAAAATTGGTGCAGCCTCGCCCCAAAGTTGTAAGTAGACAATAACAAACCTAATCAAATATATAAAAGTAAGGTTTCACTCTCTCCTTATTGGTCTACTTGGCAATTCACTATTTTAAAAATAAAAATTATATAATATTTACGTGTAACTAAACCACAAATACAAAAAAATTATTTATATACATTAATCTACCATTTAATACTAAATTGTAACCATCATACAAATTGTGTATTAATTATATATTTCTTCACTTAATGTCATTCAAACACACTATAAATTCAAATTACAACTCCTATAATTTAATTATTTTTAAAATGTAACTTCCATCATTTTCCATTCTATAAATAATCATTCTCTCATCTTCTTCCACCATATCTCAAATCTTAGATATTTTCTTTGTTTTTGTGTTGTTGCATTGGTTGAAAAACCAATTGAGACATCATTGTAAATGTTTGATTCTAAAATTTATTTTTAGAGATTATATGGTATATATTTTAGATTGTTTTCAATTTTATTTTTATTCTAATGTGTTACTTGAATATACTTATTCCTTCTTTAATTTTTATATTTTTAATTCAAAACTACAAATGTATAATAAAAAATTTGACGGCTATAATTCATGATTTTTAATTCAAAATTACATCTGTATAATGGAAAATTACATACTTTGCAGATTTAACGATGAAGTTTTAAAAATATCATTTTCTACCATTGCACAAGAAGAAAATCAAGTTGAGAAGATTCATCTCCATTTTATACTTTAAATAAATTATTGTAATATCAAATAATATATTTGTAAAATTTCTTACATACTTTTTTTTCTTATCTGAAATATTGTTTTGTATTATTTTTAATATACTCATCAGTTTAGTTTTTGTGATCCAATAAGTAATTATATAAAGATCATTAATTATAAAGTTTATTTTCTTCAAGGTTTGTGGTTTTAGTTATTTTCTAAAACAAAATAATTTATTGTTAAAAAAAATGATAATCCAACCTAGCAATTTAAATCCTATAAATACTTAAATTGAGTTTAATATAAAAAAATAGAGTAATCCTTAAAATTATCTTTAAATAATTAGATTGTAGTTTATATAAGTTTCTTGGAAAACAGATTTAGTTTCTCAATTACAAAATAATTTTAGTTTTAATTATTACATACCTTATGTGTGAGTTTATATTTTATATGAACTAACAAAACTAAATATTTGAGTATCATAGTAATAAATATATGTCATAACGAATTTTTATCCAAAACAATGTAAATACTTTCTACCAAAAAAAAAACAATGTAAACACTAAAGAATTTTTTACCAAAGTAGAAGAATAAAAAATTTATTTTATGCAATGAACATTTGATTGTTTACACTATTATAAAAATTTATGCAAAAATAACAATAAGTCACTACTAAATTTATTTTTGCGTGGCTACAAATACCTAGTTGTAAAGATATAATTATAGGATTGTAAAGTTCCTTTTTTACTAATACATTTCAGATGTACTTGTAATTTAACAACACTTACGTATCCACCTTAAATCACACGATCAAACGTTATTTTGAAGTTGCGTCAGTAAGGTTTGACCCTTGCACAAACATTACTTGTCCAACAACATCTGTGAAATGAATATCATTGTTATTTTATTAATTTTTAATATAATTAAAAAAAAATTATATGATAACTATAACATGAGTGTTTACCAGGTAGTGCAAGGTTTGTGTTTTCTAGAGCTTGGAGGTGGTCGATGTTTCACAACATGAATTTTTCTTGTTTTATTGTTATGCCTACATCAGATACCTTGGTCATGTTTGTAGATGGATGAAAACAGATGGCTAATAGGTTGTCTGTAACATTGTATAGATTTGTGCATCTCCCCACTTCAAACCCACTAAGATTAAAGATTACACTTTCTTCTAAAACATTACGCTATCGGTAGAAAAGGAGCAGCATGTATGAAACCATGTATAACTGTGTTCTGCAAATGAAATGAGATTATTGTTTAGTTTTTTGTCACTACACATTAGGTTCTATAATGTATATAAAATATTTAAAATTGTTATTACCTTCTCATCAAGGAAAAAAAGGACAATCCCCATTGTGGATGTAGGATTCACACTC